CAGGATGTACATGTTTATAGAGAGGCAACTGATATATCGAATTATTATTTAGTTGTAGCTACAGTTAGAGTAAGAGGTATTTGGGAAAAGAGGAAGGTGGCAACAATAAGTAAGAGGGAGGTGAAAGTGTATAAACTAAGGGAGGAGGAAGTTCGGGTGAGATATAAGCGACTATTGGCAGAAAGGTGGGCTAGTGCAAAGATGAGTAGTGGGGGGGTTGAAGAGGTTTGGAATAGTTTTAAAAATGCAGTATTAGAATGTGGGGCAGAAGTTTGTGGTTATAGGAGGGTGGGGGCAGGAGGAAAGAGGAGTGACTGGTGGAATGATGAAGTAAAGGGTGTGATAAAAGAGAAAAAGGTAGCTTATGAGAGGTTTTTACAAAGCAGAAGTGTTATAATAAGAGCAGAGTATATGGAGAGTAAAAGAAAGGTGAAGAGAGTGGTGAGAGAGTGCAAAAGGAGAGCAGATGATAGAGTGGGAGAGGCACTTGTCAAGAAATTTTAATGAAAATAAGAAAAATTTTTGGAGTGAGTTAAACAAGTTAAGAAAGTCTAGGGAAAGTATGGATTTGTCAGTTAAAAACAGAGTAGGAGAATTAGTAGATGGGGAAAGGGAGGTATTAGGTAGATGGCGAGAATATTTTGAGGAACTTTTAAATGTTGAGGAAGAAAGGGAGGCGGTAATTTCATGCACTGGCCAGGGAGGTATACCATCTTTTAGGAGTGAAGAAGAGCAGAATGTAAGTGTGGGGGAGGTACGTGAGGCATTACGTAGAATAAAAGGGGGTAAAGCAGCTGGAACTGATGGGATCATGACAGAAATGTTAAAAGCAGGGGGGGATATAGTGTTGGAGTGGTTGGTACTTTTGTTTAATAAATGTATGAAAGAGGGGAAGGTACCTAGGGATTGGCGGAGAGCATGTATAGTCCCTTTATATAAAGGGAAAGGGGACAAAAGAGATTGTAAAAATTATAGAGGAATAAGTTTACTGAGTATAGCAGGAAAAGTATACTGTAGGGTTATAATTGAAAGAATTAGAGGTAAGACAGAATGTAGGATTGCGGATGAGCAGGGAGCCTTCAGAGTGGGTAGGGGATGTGTAGATCAAGTGTTTACATTGAAGCATATATGTGAACAGTATTTAGATAAAGGTAGGGAAGTTTTTATTGCATTTATGGATTTAGAAAAGGCATATGATAGAGTGGATAGAGGAGCAATGTGGCAGATGTTGCAAGTACAGTGGACCCCCGCATAACGATCACCTCCGAATGCGACCAATTATGTAAGTGTATTTATGTAAGTGCGTTTGTACGTGTATGTTTGGGGGTCTGAAATGGACTAATCTACTTCACAATATTCCTTATGGGAATAAATTCGGTCAGTACTGGCACCTGAACATACTTCTGGAGTGAAAAAATATCGTTAACCGGGGGTCCACTGTATATGGAATAGGTGGTAAGTTACTATATGCTGTTAAGAGTTTTTATGAGGATAGTGAGGCTCAGGTTAGGGTGTGTAGAAGAGAGGGAGAATACTTCCCAGTAAAAGTAGGTCTTAGACAGGGATGTGTAATGTCACCATGGTGGTTTAATATATTTATAGATGGGGTTGTAAAAGAAGTAAATGCTAGGGTGTTCGGGAGAGGGGTGGGGTTAAATTATGGGGAATAAAATTCAAAATGGGAATTGACACAGTTATTTTTTGCTGATGATACTGTGCTTATGGGAGATTCTAAAGAAAAATTGCAAAGGTTAGTGAATGAGTTTGAGAATGTGTGTAAAGGTAGAAAGTTGAAAGTGAACATAGAAAAGAGTAAGGTGATGAGGGTATCAAATGATTTAGATAAAGAAAAATTGGATATCAAATTGGGGAGGAGGAGTATGGAAGAAGTGAATGTTTTCAGATACTTGGGAGTTGACGTGTCGGCGGATGGATTTATGAAGGATGAGGTTAATCATAGAATTGATGAGGGAAAAAAGGTGAGTGGTGCGTTGAGGTATATGTGGAGTCAAAAAATGTTATCTATGGAGGCAAAGAAGGGAATGTATGAAAGTATAGTATACCAACACTCTTATATGGATGTGAAGCTTGGGTGGTAAATGCAGCAGCGAGGAGACGGTTGGAGGCAGTGGAGATGTCCTGTCTAAGGGCAATGTGTGGTGTAAATATTATGCAAAAAATTCGGAGTGTGGAAATTAGGAGAAGGTGTGGAGTTAATAAAAGCATTAGTCAGAGGGCAGAAGAGGGGTTGTTGAGGTGGTTTGGTCATTTAGAGAGAATGGATCAAAGTAGAATGACATGGAAAGCTTTATAAATCTATAGGGGAAGGAAGGAGGGGTAGGGGTCGTCCTCGAAGGGGTTGGAAAGAGGGGGTAAAGGAGGTTTTGTGGGCGAGGGGCTTGGACTTCCAGCAAGCATGCGTGAGCGTGTTAGATAGGAGTGAATGGAGACGAATGATACTTGGGACCTGACGATCTGTTGGAGTGTGAGTAGGGTAATATTTAGTGAAGGGATTCAGGGAAACCGTTTATTTTCATATAGTCGGACTTGAGTCCTGGAAATAGGAAGTACAATGCCTGCACTTTAAAGGAGGGGTTTGGGATATTGGCAATTTGGAGGGATATGTTGTGTATCTTTATACGTATATGCTTCTAAACTTTTTTGGATCACCCTGCCTCGGTGGGAGACGGCCGACTTGTTGGAAAAAAAAAATTATTATTATTATTATTATTATTATTATTATTATTATTATTATTATACAGTGGACCCCCGCATAACGATCACTTCCGAATGCGACCAATTATGTAAGTGTATTTATGTAAGTGCGTTTGTACGTGTATGTTTGGGGGTCTGAAATGGACTAATCTACTTCGGTCAGTACTGGCACCTGAACATACTTCTGGAGTGAAAAAATATCGTTAACCAGGGGTCCACTGTACTATTATTATTATACGTATTATTATTATACATATTATTATTATTATTATTATTATATAAATAATTTGTAATTTTTATTCACACAAAAATTATAAGATTTACTGTTATTTCTTATTGTAATAATTGTATCAATAATGTCAACCCATTCACGACTGCATATTGGAATGGACAGTGACGTAATTTGTTTACTCTTAAACATAGCCAAGCAATGGACCATTTCTCCTACTTTGAGCTCAGTTTCAAGGTACTTTTCGTTGTGAAAGCAATCAAAATCATATCTATTTCTGTAATATATTTTCCATTCTATCAAATGAGACCAAAAAAACGAGAATACAACCATAAAAACCATACGAAAATACTGCTAAGGGGTGGCTAATTGCTGAGAAGTGAACTCCATTATTTATGCTTAGATTTCCTTCATTTTTGGTGTATGTTATGAAGTATCTTTCCATCATACATTGCCAAGTTTCAATAAGATAGTCCAACAAACAAATGAGATACAATTCCCGAGATCAAGAGCAAGAGCCCCTCACCAGTGTCAAGGAACCTGTCTTGAGGTCTGCTCGCTCATGGAAATTTTGCTCGCGTATGGAAGCAAAAATCGACCCATCGACTGCTCGTACGTATGTGGAAAAACTCTTACGTGGACATGCTCGCAAGTAGAGGTTCCACTGTATATGTCATTGATGGCTGTTTGGTACATTCATTAAATTTTGAACTAAATAGGTGTAGCATACTAGAAAATTATTTTCCCCCAAATGCATCTCTGATTATAACATGGGTGTCTGTGATTAAGGTTCACTTTATAAAAATTGTTTAGGAAACAGTTTTTTTTTGGCATGCATCTTAGAAGTTAAGTAAGGGATTGCTGCATGTGTATACATCTTCCTTGTTATTATTAAAGTCTTTCTTTGGTAGATGGGTTGAATTAAGCTTTGCTTTACTGTAGAATACCATCAAGAAAGATTCCTTGATGCTGGTGAGGGTTTCTTGATCCAAGGAATTTTACTGCTAAATTTAAAATTTGTGTATTGATAAGAACATAAGAATGTAGGAACACTGCAGAAGGCCTACTGGCCCATACGAGGCAGGTCCTTATCAAAACGACATCTACCTAAAGCTACTCAAGAAATAACTCCCGTACCCCTTGACACCAATCAAACCCAGCCCCTCCCACTCATATATTTGTCCAGTCTCTTCTTAAAGCTACCCAAGGTCCTAACCTCTATCACCCCACTGGGAAGACTGTTCCACGCATCTACATCTCTGTTAGAAAACCAGTACTTACCTATGTCCTTTCTAAATCTAAATTTATCCAACTTAAATCCATTATTCCTGGTTCTTACCTGGTTCGACACCCTCAGTACTTTATTAATGTCTCCCTTGTTTATGCCCGTCATCCACTTATACACTTCAATGATATCTCCCCTCATTCTTACGCCTCTCCAGAGAGTGGAGATTTAAGGCTTTAAGTCTATCTTCATACGGGAGGTTCCTTACACAGTATAAATCATTTTAGTCATTCTTCTCTGTATGTTCTCTAATGAGTCTATGTCCATCCTGTAGTAAGGGGACCAAAACTGAGCAGCATAATCTAAATGAGGCCTCACTAGTGATGTATAGAGCTGTAAAATAACTTTTGGACTTCTGTTACTTATACTTCTTGAGATAAATCCAAGTAATCTGTTGGCCTTGTTGCACACACTAAGGCACTGCTGTCTTGGCTTTAGATTTCTGCTTACCATGACTCCCAAGTCTTTTTCACATTCTGTATGACCAAGCTCTACTTCACCTAGATTATAGCTTCGAGGGTTATTTTCATTACCAAGGGCAAGTACCTTACACTTACTGTAGTAAATTTCATTAGTTTTAGCAATATTAGATCAAACATTTTAAGTTAATTTTACTCTTTAATTTAAAATTTGTGTGCCATGTTAATTCAGTTTTATCTTATTAATCTATAAGATAAATGAATTTATTATTATTTATAAGTTTGATTTATTTGACTGACACAGGCCATAAAGTATGGCATATATAATTCATATATTTTTTCTTACTTTAAGGTTTGTTCAATGGAAACCCCCATATTGCAAGACTATATAACTCATTCAACAAATCATATGAAGCAGTTGGTTAAAGATGCCTTTAAAAAAAGGAGTGACTCTTTGGATATTAAGAAAGATATTGAAAGTTCTGATGCAGAGAAAATCAAGTTAGAATCCAAAGACAAAGATAATTTTAAAATGGAAAAGCATAAACAAGGAGAAGACAGCAGCACAGTTCAAGATATTAATTCAGAATCAGTTGTGTTTGATTCTGTGAGTAATTCAGGTAACAACTCTCATACTCAAGTAATATCTATAAAGTTAGAAAATGTAGATGAGCCAAATACCACAAAATCAGATTCTGTCACTTGTGTTGGTGGAAAAAAAAAATTGCCCATTTTCAAACAGCTAGTGGAAACAAATGTGAATAAAACAGCTTCATTATTGGACAAGAGTAGTGATGACATAAGAGTTTTAGGTGCTGCTGAAGAGAAAACAAATATTAATGTAGATGGAGGTGAAACTTTAATGACATTACCACAAGTAATGGTGTCACAAGATGGTCAACAGTATTTAATTGGGGTCTCCTCAGATGAGATGAATAGCAATCATAGTAGCTTTACTATACTGTACAACCAATGGAAGATGAACAATAGATATATAGGAAAGTCTCAGTAACTTGTAAAATATTGACAAATCTATGAGTCGTGTTTTATTTTTATGTACATTCTTGGACAAAAGTACTGATACTTTCCAAAACTTAACTGCAGAAGCCTGCTTAGGAGTTGGTACAGCTGTTTAGGGTGTGTAATTGTAATTTTGACTCTTGGTTAAGACTCCATGTGAAAGGAGCAAATTTTTTTAAATAAAATGCCATAAGATACTGGCAATTAAAGCAAAAAAACAAATCCTTTCACGTTCATAATTCCAATGATGTATATAAAAGTGATCTGAGAGTTTTTTATATTTTTCAGTGTGAAGTGAATTCATCTATTAATTATCCTCATTGGCTCCACTTTCCTGCACAATCCATCACCATTGGATGAGAGCTTTATTTTCTGGCTTAGTGCACAGTGTCACTACATTTTCCACAACTAATTTTTGTTATTTTTTTACAATGTCTGTCTCTCGCCAAAGCAGGGTTACCCAACAAAAAAGTGAACACCTTCACTGTCACTCATTCAGTTACTATCTTTCCAGAAGCATGCTGACATATCAATTCAGCTGACCCTCCAAACTGCAACGTCACCACCTCTCCTTCATAGTGCAAGTATTGTACTTCATACTCCAGGATTCAAGTCCAACTAACTGGTTTCCTCTGAATCCTTCATAAGTCTTACATTGCTCAAACTCCAACAGCATGTCAAATCATGAAAACCACTTACCTACTCTCATTCCTACCTAATATGTTCACACAAACCTTTTTAAGAGTTCTTAGACTAGGAATTCATGTGTATTTGCTTGATAGGATAAGAGGATATCAAATGATTTAGGTACAGAAAAACTGGATATCACATTGGTGGGAGGGGGTATGAAAGAAGTAAATGTGTTCTGATATTTGGGAGTAGACTTGGCAGCAGATGGGTTTATGAAGGCTGAGGTATACCATAAAATTGATGAAGGAAAAAAGGTGGGTGGTGTAATGAGGTATCTGTGGAGACAAAGAACATTATCCATGGAAACAGAGAAGGGAATGTGTGAGAGTATAGTGGTACCAGCACTTATATGGGTGTGAAGTATTGGTTGTAAATGCTGCGGCAAGAAGGAGGTTGGGGGTAGTGGAGATGTTGTGTCTAAGGGCAATGTCTGGTGTAAGTATTATGCAGAGAATTTTAGTGTGGCAATTAGGAGGAGGTGTGGAGTTACTAAAAGTATTACTCATAGGGCTGAGAAGGGGTTGTTGAGGTGGTTTGGTCATTTAGAAAGGATGGAGCAAAATAGGATTACTTGAAAGGTGTGTAAATCTGTAGTGGAAGGGTAGGGGTTGTCCTAGAAAAGGATGGAGGGAAGGGGGTAAAAGAGATTTTGTATGCAAGGGGCTTGGACATACAGTAGGGATGTGTGAGTGTGTTAGATAGGAGTGAATGGTTTTTGAGACTTGACGAGCTGTTGGAGTGTGAGCAGGGTAATATCTTGTGAAGGGATTCAGGAAAACCGGTTAGCCAGATTTGAGTCCTAGAGGTGGGAAGTACAAAGGGGTTTGGGATATTGGCAGTTTGGAGAGACAACTGAACTGTCCTATCTGGGCACATCTGCAAAGACAATGATTATGTGTGAATGATGGTGAAAGTGCTTCTTTCTTTTTTAGGTCACCCTGCCTTGGTGGGAGATGGCTGACATGTTGAAAGAAAAGGATTTTTGCTTAATATTTTCATTTACTGGTTTGAACATATTAACCCTTTGACTGTCGCGGCCGTATATATACGTTTTACGAGGTGCCGTGTTTGACGTATATATACTCATAAATTCTAGCGGCTTCAAATCAAGCAGGAGAAAGCTGGTAGGCCCACATGTGAGAGAATGGGTCTGTGTGGTCAGTGTGCACCATATAAAAAAAATCCTGGAGCACGCAGTGCATAATGAGAAAAAAAAAACTCCGACCGTTTTTTTTAATTAAAATGCCGACTTTGTGGTCTTTTTCGTATAGTAAATTTTTGGTTGTATTCTCGTTTTCTTGGTCTCATTTGATAGAATGGGGAAAAAATATTACAGAAATAGAGGTGATTTTGATTGATTTTACTATAAAAAGAACCTAGAAATGGAGCTCAAAGTAGGGGAAATGTTTGATTTTTGCCAATGTTCAAAAGTAAACAAATGATGCCATTGTCCAATAAATGTCCAACTAGCCATTCTGATATGCAGTCATGAATGGGTTGATGTTATTTATACAGTTATTACAGCATTGCAGTAGTCTGCATAATAGTAAGTCTAATATTTTTTGTTTGAATAAAAATTCAAAATAGAAAGCAAGAGTAATATCAGAAGGGCCTGGAGATGTGACTGATGAACAAAGAAAACGTTATTTTAGAGCCAGGAATGTCTGCATTGTTCATTCTGGACCTTATTTTGAAATTGTCATATTTTTTAGTTTTCGTGAAATTGGCCAAATTGCAAATTTCTGACCATATTATTAGGTAGTTGAAATCAGTAAATGGGCAGTTTCTTGTATTCAATCGATAGAAAAAATGAAGTTCTAAAGAAATAGCTATGAGTTTGGGCGACTGGAACAATGGAATTAGCCGAAAATAGGGCTCAAAGTGGGCGAAATTGCCGATTTGAAACAGCGCCGAGGTCGCTAACTTCGCGAGGCATAATTCCGTCAGTTTTCCATCAAATTTCGTTTTTTTGGTGTCATTACAATCGGGAAAAGATTCTCTATCATTTCATAAGAAAAAATAATTTTTTTTTTTTAAATTTTGCGACACCAGGAGACACCTCAGGATTGGGGGTTGCGACAGTCAAAGGGTTAAATGAACTCAGTGTTGTCACACTGAATTTTTTTTTTTTTTTTTAGAAAGGTGAAGGATTACTTTAAGAAACTTACATGGAAAGATACAAGAGAACGAGAAAGCTCAAAGGAAATAAAGAACCTGTTGTCATCAAATTGAATGGATGCTGTGAAGGTTGAGAAAATAAAGCGAGCTATCATGCATTTCTTCAGGTGGGTACAACCAATAAAAATAACCATTGCTAATAAAAAGGAAATCCTTGATACTTTCAGATAGTTGATACTAACTGGTTTACAGTCCAGTTAAGCGTCCTTTACTGCGCTAATTTTTGTACCAGTAGGCACATATACTCCTCTCACTGTTATTTTTTACTATGTTATGAACATTTTTCATATCTGCCCTGTCACTTGTGAAGAGTCTATTGGTCTGTCCTGTCTGTCAAAGAGCACGCAGAATTTTTTTCTCACATCGTCACTGCTCTAACACCCTTACTTTATTTTCCCTCCTTGCTGTTGGACCCACCTTTGACACAGACTGCCTCTTCACCTTATTGACAGCAACTGATTTATTACACAAACTTTGATAATCCTTCCTTTCGCACTCCTCACAGCCCTTCCTAACTTTACCTTTGTTGTCCTCTCCACACTGCCCTGCCTGCGCTGCCCTGCAGCGCTGTATAGCCCTAGTAGGTTTAGCGCTTCTTTTTTATTATAATAATGATGCCCTGTCACTTAACACCTATGGTAGGAAATGTTATTAGTTTCTATTGCTGTACTCTTTATTTCTGATCCTTCTATATAACATCCCCACCTTTCCTGTAGACTGCAGGCACTGCAGTCTGCAATCTACTCACAAGCCAATAGCACATCCATTAAAAACCACTTGTCTCCATGCACTCCTGTCTAACACACTCTCACAAGCCTGCTGGATGCTCAATCCCCTAAAATTCAAAAAGCCTCTATTAAGCCTTTGCATTGATACAAGGAATTAAAACTTTGACACATAGGTCTGCATTTTTTTTTTTTTTAACAAACCGGCCGTATTCCACCAAGGCAGGGTGGCCCAAAAAGAAAAACGAAACTTTATCTTTTTAAATTTAGTAATTTATACAAGAGAATGGGTTACTAGTCCCTTGCCCCTGGCATTTTAGTCGCTTCTTACAACACGCAGGGCTTACGGAGGAAGAATTCTGTTCCACTTCCGCATGGAGATAAGAGGAAATAAACAAGACAAAGAACCAGAAAGAAAATAGCAGAAAACCCAGATGGGTGTGTATATATATGCCTGTACATGTATGTGTAGTGTGACCTAAGTGTAAGTAGAAATAGCAAGACGTACCTGTAATCTTGCATATTTATGAGACAGACAAAAGACACCAGCAATCCTACCATCACGTAAAACAATTACAGGCTTTTGTTTTATACTCACTTGGCAGGACGATAGTACCTCCCTGGGTGGTTGCTGTCTACCAACCTACTACCATAATAGGTATGCATATGCCTCATATAATTTTCCTGAATTTGTCAGATCTCTTTGTGAACATCGGTTGTTCCATTACTCACAGTGACTTGTGCACTAATTCAATTTAGTGAGTGAATACTTTTTTATACCATTGATTTTGTGAGAGAAGCAAATTGACTGCTGCCCATTCCTTTATTACTCTCTCCCTTGGTTATACTGACTGTCAGAGAAAACTAGTTCCCTGTTATGAATGGAAAGCACTTGACTTTGCATTCACAGTGACGATGGAACGTTGGCTCTCGATGGTAATGAATGCACTAGGGTTGGTTGCCCGAAGATAACAGCAGCACAGTTCCACAGTAAATTCTGAGTTCGCAGGAATGGATAAGTGAATGTGGCTGCTGTCTTCCACTTTCGAGACTTGAATTCTGTAATGAGTCAGCCCATCTCTAGTATGCTTCACAGTACAGTGTCTTCTTCAGCTGACTAAAGTGCAGCTAGATCTGGTCTGAAGAAGAAGAGCTGAGGATGACATGCCCTACCTCACTCCAGCCAAATACCAGATAAAGGTATTGCTACCAGGAAGAAATACCTTAACCCATACCAGAAAATTATGTAGACACCTGCAGCTACAAACATACCCAAATAATGACACTACTTATGATCACTCTAGGCCTGCCAATCATGGGTCCAGTTGCTGGGGGAATCTCATGAATTCTGGAAATAAACTTAACAAAAGAAATATTTACATCAAACTCCACATCATATAGAGAAGGCCCAGGCAAGGAGCTGTCATCCCCATATAATGAGAATGGAGATGTAGAGGTGGAAGGTCCAGTTGGCTCGCCTGCTTGTGAAGTTCATAATGCAGTCTTCTTAGAGAGACTTCAAGCACCATTCAAGGAAGAGAACTTTACTCTGTCCCCATGCAGCTTAAATGTTGTCGATTGTATTCCTGAGATTGTAGGCCTTCCACCACACAAATGTTGGCCCATGGGGTCTGTCAGTGCCCTCCAGCAGCTGGGAAAAGCTCCTCTGAAATTAACAGGCCCTTAAATGCTGAAAAAGCTTCCTGATAAAGAGGCTGATCCACCGACGTGTTAGAGGGAAGGAATATGATCATCACATGTGGGTTAACACATTCTAGGTGTTAAGGGTGAAAAGGGACATTGTTAAGAACAATCAGCACCTTCAGTGGTAAGTTAAACTCTTAGCACAGCTTGCCACCACAATGAAATGTACAGTGGACCCTTGGTTATTGGCCGTTCCTGTTATCAGCCAATTCGGTGATCGGCCAGTTTTTCGGCTCCCGGAGATCGGCTGTTTCGGACACGTCCATCTGCCAACTGGAGTCACATGTGTGTCAGTTTGGCTGTGTCTTTCGATGCGTGAGGAAGCTTCTGCTCATACATCCAAACATTTCACTTTTTTTCCTTTTTTTTTTTTTTTTGCAGTGCAACTGCGAAATAAGTAACCATGGCTCCAAAGAAAGTTCCTAGTAAAGTTCCTGTGGTAAAGAAAGTGAGAAACACCATGGAATTTAAGCATGAAGTGTAGCAGGCATGCAGAGAGTGTAGCAGGCATGCAGAGAGTGTAGTAGGCATGCAGGGAGTGTAGCAGGTATGCAGAGAGTGTAGTAGGCATGCAGGGAGTGTAGCAGGCATTTCAGTGAGTGTAGCAGGCTGCAGGGAGTGTAGCAGGTATGCAGGAGAGTGTAGCAGGCATGCAGAGAGTGTAGTAGGCATGCAGGGAGTGTAGCAGGTATGCAGGGAGTGTAGCAGGCATGCAGAGAGTGTAGTAGGCATGCAGGGAGTGTAGCAGGCATGCAGTGAGTGTAGCAGGCATGCAGGGAGTGTAGCAGGTATTCAGGAAGTGTAGCAGGCATGCAGGGAGTGTAACAGGCATGCAGGGAGTGTAGCAGGCATGCAGAGAGTGTAGCAGGCATGCAGGGAGTGTAGCAGGCATGCAGGAGTGTAACAGGCATGCAGGCAGTGTAGCAGGCATGGAGGAAGTGTAGCAGGCATGCAAGGAGTGTAACAGGCATGCAGGGAGTGTAACAGGCAAACAGGTAGTGTAGCAGGCATGCAGGGAGTGTAGCAGGCATGCAGGGAGTGTAGCAGGCATGCAGGGAGTGTAGCAGGCATGCAGGAAGTGTAGCAGGCATGCAAGGAGTGTAGCAGACATGCAGGAAGTGTAACAGGCATGCAGGGAGTGTAGCGGGCATGCAAGGAGTGTAACAGGCATGCAGGGAGTGTAACAGGCATGCAGGGAGTGTAGCAGACATGCAGGAAGTGTAACAGGCATGCAGAGTGTGTAGCAGGCATGCAGAGAGTGTAGCAGGCATGCAGGGAGTGTAGCAGGCATGCAGGGAGTGTAGCAGGCATGCAAGGAGTGTAATAGGCATGCAGGGAGTGTAGGAGGCATGCTGGGAGTGTAGCAGACATGCAGGAAGTGTAGGAGCTTATGGAGCGGATTACGCCGATAACCAAGGGTCCACTGTATAAACCAGTCTTGAAAAATTTGGCCTGTCATCCATTCCTTCTTGTTTTGCAGTTCAGTATACAGGCATCATGTTCTTACTCTAGCCCTTTCAATGCACGTGGGTTGAAGGAATGGTACATAAGCAGTGGCTTGAACTTAGAATCTCCTGCAATGATGCTACTTTGTAGGACACTCAGCCTATCCTTTGCTTCCTTGAACTCACTTGGGCATTACTTTTGATTGTAGCAGAGCAAAGATTTATTTTCCTGTAGTTCTAATCTTCTGCATACACTGGCAGTATTGTCTCCAGCTTCAACAAGAGGTAGATACTTAACATTAAGGAATGTAGGATACATTACAGAGCTAATATTTTCAGCATTCTTTTTCAGTTGAACAAATGGTTGACTAACTCAAAAGCAGGTAGCCCTTTACCAGCATCAGAATGAATAAAAATCTGCTTTATCTTTCAGGGTTAATAAAGTCCTTTTGTGCTTCTTTGATGAGCTAGGGACCATGGTAGGGGATGATTTAGTAGAATGCTGAAAAGTCATAAACTGGAGACCGCAACTGCAGATATGTAAAGAAAGTCTTCCGAAGAAGTTGAAACATGAACTTTACCATGTCGTGGCTCCCACAATGCCCCACACAAAAGCGTACAGCACAGTGTCCACTGGCTCCCATTGCATAAGAGTGAATTTATAATGCATTTAGGAAATTACTGCTGCATATGAATGTATTCTCATAAACAGAAGCTGCATAAAGTGGGAGGAAACCTCTATCTTATAAAAATCTCATTGGCACTTTGTGAATATAAGAATAATTATAAAGACTGATAGACAACAGTATAAAGTATAGTACCTCTCAAGAGAGGCACCTGGATGTCAGTGAGTGGCTCTTGATCAAAGGAACTGGACTTGAAATCACCTCTCCAGGATTGAGCTTGATTGCCTCCCATTTCCCACGTGCTATATGACCCATATTAGTTTAGCACTTTCACCTCATTAAAAATAAAATGTATGTGTAGTTAAACTGCTCTTAGTCACTGATGCCAGTGAAACATTCTTGATTCAAGGCACTGAAGCTATCCTTCAGTTCCTTGGATCAGACCTGATTGCCTCTCATTCCTTATTCCCTAGACACTACGACCCCTATGGGTTTAGTGCTATCATGTAAATATAATAAAATCTTAATAATCACTGCCATTTTGTGATATGTATAGTAGGTTAATAATTTTCAGCCTACTTGAGATTTCTGTTTAATTAAGGAAAATTTTTGAATTGCCGTATTCATTGTATAAAATAACAGGGCAGTAAGTATGCTTGGTATCTGGG